ACCTGTGAACGATGGCCATGTGATGTGAGTATCAGTCACCTGTGAACGATGGCCATGTGATGTGAGTATCAGTCACCTGGAGGCAGGACTTAAAAGCCTGAATTTTGCCTGAAACTCTCAGACTGAAGAAGTCTCTTGGAGGAGAGACGAAACGTTTCATTAAAGAAGAACCCGTCCAGAGGACCTATACAATTTTTTTTCCTTTTGATTTTTTACCTGGATTACTGAGATGCATCAGGACACTCTTTGGCTCCTTCCCTCTTAAAAGTGTCAGAACTGTTCCTGATCAATTCCCTTTCTGGGACCCAAAACTTCCGTCTAGACCCGTTTTCTCTCACAGGACTGTTTTCTTCCTCTCAGAAGACCATAAACATTTCTTTCTTTGTTTCATTAAGTCTTTTTAAAAGAGGAAAAAAAACTTTGTCCTGTTTTATATCAAAATTGTCTGTTTTTTATCTGCAAAAAAACGTGATTTAACCTTTTTGTCTTCCAGATCCTAGAAGGCGGTCCAGGGCCACCTGAGTATTAAATCTTAATCATGTGATACAAAGCCCTTTAAATGTTATTCTGTGGTATCAGTTGTTCAGGTTTAGTTTCACGTTTCTTGCCAAGATGTGTTTAATTCCATAAGTTAACAGTTTTTAATGTTTTCCTTATTGACATCGATCTTTAGCAAATTTAGAAATTTTGTGACATTTTGGTCTTAATGATTTTACATGTATTACTTTCATTGATAAATAATTTTATTATCTACTAGAAAAGTAACAGCTAAACTACTGTCTGTATGCTTTGCTTTGAAGAATCCTTAGGTATCCACTAGACGTATATTTTAATATGATTTGTTTTCGTACTGTTTGAATAATCTGTAAATAAATGTTACACAAAGAGTGTAACAAATTTATATTTGGTCATTTGTATATTTTTGTGTCTTGATAAAGTTTAACAATTTATCTAAGCAAAATAACTCAACTTTTGGGTATTTTATTGAGACTGGTAACCAAAGAGTCATTGACTTGCCAAAGTTTTTCCTCTCTTTTCTTTTCAATTAAAGGAGAGTGGTGCTTCGAGGCAAATTATAGTTCTAACTTAAATAATTAATAATGGAGAGAGGTTTTCAGGAATGTGTTGCTATTGGGCAAGTTGTCATTTTTCTGTTATATGCTGTCCGGAGACATGGAGAAAGAAATCCAATTCTTATGGGAATATCAGGGAAGACACCAGCAAATCAATCATAATAAGAAAATGTTCGCTACATCAGAACTTATTCGGCAAATGTGTTTCCATTTTCGCTTTTACGCTTTAACTCTGACAGAAAATCTAAAAAACCACCTCAAGCGAGTGTAAAGATTTTTTTTGCGAAACTGAGGACGTTTTATCAAATGTTTTCATTTCCATCAACCTTTTCTAATGCGATATTTCAAAATGTGCATAGAAAATGATGTAAACACGACAATTTTTGTTTTTTTTAAAGAAAATTATAATAATTTTACTAATAAAGCTGTTTTTTGTAAAACAAATGAACCAATTTTTAAAAAGTTAGTTACTTCTGTAT